AAGCGGTGATTACCTTGGAGAAGTCATTGCTTGGAACGGAGAAACAGGAGAATCCCTCACCCAACCCATCAAAGCCCACTTCATATTTGTCAACTCGCTGGACTTTTCCGCGGATGGCACGGTGTTGGCCACTGGTTCACACGACGACACGGTCAAGCTGTGGTGCACCAAAACATGGCAGCAACAAGGAAATTCAATTGTAGCGAGTGTTCCTGTCTACCGGGTTCGATATTCGCCGTCTGGTGAACTTCTTGCCGTCGCAGCATCGGGCAATATCGCAATTTATAATTCAGGCAACAGGGAACGCGTTGCAACCTTAGAGACTTACTAATTATTGAGATTACGATAGATACGATATTTGATTGATTCACAAGTAAGAATGAAAATATTTGACTTAGAGGCACACGACGGTGGGCGCTAAGATTGCTTTTTTATTCGGATATATCCGCGCAGGTTATATATACTTTATATTACCGCCGGGTTATGTAATCTCCGATATGGCTGACGTGTCCTAGGTTTGTTCAACCTCGACACTCCCCCTCAAACCTAGGACATCCCAAGTCCACGTATATGTTGGTGATGTGCAGGTTTGGGTAGCGCTTTTGTGAAGATGTCCGCCGTCATTGGTGCGGTAGGACAATACTTCAGTTTTATCTCACTGTTTTTAACTTTATTTCGGATATAGTGATGTTTTAAATCAAAATGCTTCGTTCTCTTGTGATATTGTGGGTTCTGCGCAATCGCCAACGAGCCAGAGTTGTCTTCGTGTATCAAGGTAGGCTCTCTTTGCTCGTATCCTAACTCCCAGTATAGATTACGAAGCCATACTGCTTCTCTCGCTGCGTCCGAGAGGCAGATGTATTCAGCTTCTGTCGTTGACAAGGAGATGGTGTTTTGCTTTCTCGATCCCCACGTTATTGCCCCTCCGTTCGATAAGAAGGTGTACCCCGAAACAGAGGTATGATCATCATTATTCGCGAAGCTTGCATCCGAATATCCAACGAAACGGTTTTCGGTGTTACTCAAGAGTTTATTTCTTTTATAGGTTATTCCTATATCTTTGGTACCCTTGAGGTATATTAAAACGCGTTTCGCAGCAGTCCAGTGAGTTATTCCGGGATTCGCTGTGTATGATGCTAATCGATATACAGCATATGCGATATCTGGACGTGTCGCCACGGCTGCATACATTAAGGACCCTATGAGGGATGCGTAGTTATTGCTACGATTTCCCGTTTCAGGTGAGCTATCTACTGGTTCGAGTTTGATATTTGGATCGAGGGGCATCCCAACTGAATTCGCGTCTGCAAGGCCGTACCTCGCAAGAATCGCTTCGATGTATTTCGTTTGAGAAATTCGTAGCTCCCCCTTCTCTCGATCTCGATCAATTTCGATACTGACAATTTTGCTTGGATCACCGAGGTCAGTGACTTCAAACATTGTTTGTAACTCACGTTTTAACTTCACCATTAGCGCTGTACTGTTCGTAAACAGGAGTAGGTCATCAACCCACACGGTAATAATTTCTATTCCGTCTCCCGTCTTTCTTATGTATGCGCATGGGTCGCTAATTAGTCTTTTGAATCCCTTTGCTTCGAGCTGTTTATTTAGCTCGATATTCCACTCACGGCCAGATTGTTTGAGGCCATACAATGTTTTTATTAGGCGGCATACTCTCTCTGTTCCGTCTTCAAAACCTTCCGGCTGTCTCATGAAGACTTCTTCCTTTAGGATACCGTTTAGGTAAGCACCTTTCACGTCCATTTGTTGTATATCCCAGTCTTCTGATACAGCCAATGCTAGTATTGTGCGAATCGTTTCAAGACGCACGACGGGTGAGAAAGTGTCATCATAGTCCATCCCCGGTACTTGTGAGTACCCTTTCGCTACTAATCGTGCTTTATGCTTAACGAGCTCCCCATTTTTATTGTACTTCCGGACTAGAACCCATTTGTTCCCTATGGGTATTCGTTCTTCTGGAGGGTCTACTAACTCCCAGGTTCCCATAGTATTAAGTTGCTCTAGCTCGGTATTCACAGCCTTCTCCCACTGTGGCCAATCTGGGGATGTCATCGCTTCTTTTAGCGACTTTGGGTCATCCGGAGCAATACCGCTCTCATTGAACGCGGCAAATATCATTTCGGCTGCTGATGATGTAACCTCTCCTTCGTCAGGATCATCTACCAGTTCAGCTAGTTCTTCTGGCGGATCATTTAACACTCGATAATCATGCTTTATTTTTGTTCTGGTGCTTCTTCGTGGTTCATCAGGTACGATTTCGTCCTGTTCTCGCTTCCGCTTGAGATTAACACTTGATTCACCAGTTTTACTGGTCTGTCCGCCATCGAATCTTCCAGCATCTTCGTCAGATTGTGGTGTGTCAATCTCTCCCCACTCCCCCTCACACTGCATATCTGGCGTGATTGTTTCTTGGGGTTTGATTTGTAGGAAGCGATAATTTCTAGATGATTTAACTTGTTTCGTGCGCGCGTCGTAATACTTTACGGCTTTCGGACCATCTAGGAAGCCAAGAAATGTATGTTTTTCTGATTTCGCCTCAAGTTTTGATATGTTCTGACCGTCTCTTAATATCCATACAGGTACACCAAATTCCTGCAGGTGAGACACATTTGGTCGTGTTCCTGACCATTTTTCCTCAGGTGTATACTCTTCGAGTGCTCGTGTATGCGCTCGATTGCGCAAATATGCTGCGTGAGTCACCGCTTCGGGCCATAGGAATTTAGGTAAGTCGCGAGCTATTAACATTGCTCGCGCTAACTCAATTAATGTTCTATTGAAGCGTTCTGCCACCCCATTTTGTGAGGGTGAATAAGGTGCAGCAGTTTCTAACTCTATCCCCTTTTGCTGACACCAGTTTTTTAGTTCATTATTTATATATTCTGTACCGTTATCGGTGCGAATACTTTTGGGGAGTTTTTCGCAGTGCCGCTCAACATAGGATAGGTAATCTTTCACCTTTTCGGTGGTTTCATCCTTCGTTTTCATATATTTGATGACACACCTTCTTGTGCTGTCATCTACAAAACTAACATAATACCTCGCCCCCGTTATAGCCGTTGTTCGAGCTGGTCCCCAAACATCTGAGTGTGTTTGTTCACCTGGTACTCGAGCTCTATTTTGAGCTTGATTTGGGAATGGGTTTCGAGAGTGTTTAGCTTCGATGCACGCTTCGCACTCTGGAATAGGTGAACTTTGATCTACGTCAAAGCCGTCTACTAACTGCTGTTTTGCCAGTCGTTGTAATCCTGTGACGCCGATATGTCCATAGCGTTTATGCCACTCTTCCCAAGTAAGTGAGTCATTTGCTTTGTTGGTTGACTCGATTTGAGGCTGAATGGTCGTGGCGTCTAGGATATATAATCTATTTACACGGCGTCCAGTTGCTATGGTCCGTCGGTTCTGATCAAGCAATGTGACTTGTCCGTTGTCAAATCGGGCTCTTCCCCCTTGCTCGTCTAGTCGGCTGATTGATATGAGATTGTTTACTGCTGTTGGAACATGCAGTACGTCTCTCAATTGTACCGTCTTCAATTTGTCTTTAACTCGTGTTTGTATTTTTACTAATCCACGGCCTAGTGCTTTTATTGGCACATTTCCGATTCCGATTATGGTGCCGCCGCTTATTGGACGGTACTCTTCAAACACGGTTCGTTGGCTCACAATGTGGGAAGTGGTAGCTGTATCAGCTACCCACGAGTAAAAGGAAACACGCTCGTCGGTGTCTTCATTCACAGATACATTTTTGGTTACATAAGCCTTATCCTCGTCCATAGGCTCGTCTTCCTGCGGATCTCTCGCGATATTGGCACGCTCTTTCTGCTGACGTGGCTTTTGGGATGATGGTCCCGCTTTCCCCCAGCAATCTTTAGTCTCGTGTCTGAACTTTCCGCAAGACACACACTTCGGCTTGCCCTTGAACCGGCAATCATCTGTGGCATGATTATTTCGTCCACAGACAGTACACTTAGCTCGGCTCTTAGGCATCTCGACATGTTTCTCAATCTTCCTTTTCTTTCCGCTCCTCTCAGTCTTGGCGTAGAACCCTTTCTCTTGGGTGTCCTCGCCTTTTCGACGTTTATACTCGTCGAGGATGATGGAGATTAACTCCTGGGAAGTATATCCTTTTATTTTGTCGGATTCGATTTTCTCGGCATGCGCCCCTAAATAGGACGCAGTCCAAGTTCCCCACGATTTCGGTAACGACATTACGAGAATGGCTTTGAACTCTGCATCTGGGATCTCGCACCCCATGGTGTCGAGTTGGTTACGCTTATTCACCATCTCAGTAACGTGTTCCGTAATATCGCAGCCTTCTTCGGCTTGCATAGCATAAAAGGTGCGTTTCGCCATTAACGCACTCGACTGACTCCTCGTCTCATGGATTGTCTTTAGATTCTCCCATGCCTCCTTTATGGTCTTCGCACGTGACACGTGGACTACTTTATCATCCTTGATATTGTTCAAGATGAGTGTCCGTGCCACATAATCTTGTTTATCCCAGTATGCGATCTCATCCTTGTCCGTCATGGGCCTTTTACAGGTCCCATCAATGTGCCCATGGACTCCGTGAAGGTTAAGGATGGTTTCTATCCTTTCCTTCCACGTGATCCAGTTTATATCATTTAGGGCCTCGATTTTATATGACGTGACAGGTCCGAGGTTAATGGTGGGACGCGAAGAGGCATGAGCATCAACAACCATGCTTGTGTTTGGGTTGTTAGGATCAGTCATTTTAGATAGGAGTATTTGCGCAGCGTGTTTTGTTTGTTTCTGATTTATGAGGGTCGATATGCGATACGACAGGGCTCGTAACCTATTGAGATTACGATAGATACGATATTTGATTGATCCACAAGTAAGAATGAAAATATTTGACTTAGAGGCACACGACGGTGGGCGCTAAGATTGCTTTTTTATTCGGATATATCCGCGCAGGTTATATATACTTTATATTACCGCCGGGTTATGTAATCTCCGATATGGCTGACGTGTCCTAGGTTTGTTCAACCTTGACACTAGTCCACACCCGTTGTGCCTTCGGCACAGGAAGGCAGCAGAGCGCTTCGCGCTCTGCTCAAGGTGCCTGCGGCACCTTGTCTTCTTAATAATCATAGCAGGTTTTGATTTATATTGTATTTTTGAGATAATTTGAATTTGAATTTTTGTATACTTTTATAATTAATAAAAATTATCATACATTGCAAAAATCCTGCTGGCAGAGGAATCAGTCTCACATTTTGTACTATAGTATAATTTAATAGTTCTCCCCATCTCATATTCTCCTGTCTCCCGTCTCATATTTCCCCATCCCCCCATTCTCCAGTTCTCCTGTTCACCCATCTCCCGTCTCATATTTCCCTGTCCCCCATCCCCCGTTCTCCTGTTATCCTGTTCTCGTGTTCCCCCAATTCTCCCATTCCTGTTCTCCCATTCTCCTGTTCTCCTGTTCTCCTGTTCTCCCATTCTCCTGTTCTCCTGTTCTCCTGTTCTCCTATTCTCCTATTCTCCCTTGTCCTCTTGTTCTCCTGTCCCCCCATTCTCCCAATCTCCTGCTCTCCCCGTCTCCCGTCTCCCGTCTCCCGTCTCCCGTCTCCCGTCTCCCGTCTCCCGTCTCCCGTCTCCCGTCTCCCGTCTCCCGTCTCCCGTCTCCCGTCTCCCGTCTCCCGTCTCCCGTCTCCCGTCTCCCGTCTCCCGTCTCCCGTCTCCCGTCTCCCGTCTCCCGTCTCCCGTCTCCCGTCTCCCGTCTCCCGTCTCCCGTCTCCCGTCTCCCGTCTCCCGTCTCCCGTCTCCCGTCTCCCGTCTCCCGTCTCCCGTCCCCTGTCCCCTGTTCTCCTGTTCTCCCGTCCCCCTGTCCTTCCATTTATTTATTTCACAATTTTCTGTCTTTCATCTCCCAATCTCTCTTGTCTCCAAGATGAGCATTGTTCATTGAAGATTCTTTTATTTCATAATCAAAGTACCAAGCAATCAAAGAGAAACCTAAAAGAGTTTGCATGTGGGTGGAAGAGAACGTGTCCAGCCTTCAGGCAACTTCCAACCTGGTGGTGGTCCCTCCCTGAGGCTCTCATCAAATCGCTTAACCTGGGCCTCACAACTTGCCCATGCCCTTTGACTGCCAATGAACTCTCGCCAGTCTCGTTGATCTGCACAATCCTTCTCCCTCTGTTCTTTTGCTAGACGAACATCAACGATCTTCTGCAACTTCTTCTCCTGCTTCCTCATCCAGTGCTCATGCTCCTCTTTGCTCCTCTCCATGGATTGTCGTATCTTTGCAGTGCTCTTGGAGACATCATGGATATACTGCTCCAATGCGTGAGTGCGTTCTCGACAGGCTATCTTACTGTAAGGATCATTGAGCTTTCGACGCTCGAGTCGAGCGTGAAACTGCTTGCGGCAGTCGTCACGTAGTCGGGCCTCCCAGTCAGTGGTGCGAGAGAAAGGCAAAGATGGTGGTAGGACAGCATAGCCATGCTGGGGGTTGCAGAAGGGGGGCAACACCTGGGTGCAGGGATGCCTGCAGTAGGGGTGTTTTTCAACATTTTATTTCATTAGACGAAATAAAATAAAATAAGATGACTCACGTGACGTCTGACGAAGCAGAGAATCGCACGTCGGACTCGGATGATGTCACTGCAGTGACAGAAGGCAGTGGTGTGCAGCCTGGAGGCTGTTGAGAGCTACAGAATGGTGAGTGGTTGTCAACACTGATCACACAATGCAAGTCAGCTTATAGTGACAGGAACTCACCTGTCCGTCGAAACAAAATTCGACATGTGCGGAAGGGAATGGCGCAACGCTGGATGTGCGGTGCACAGGAATCGTCGGCGCTCGAAAAGAACCACGCAACTTTCCAAATCGAGGTTTTAGCGAGCTACATCAGTAAACTACAACTTTCTCACAGAGGTCACACACTTGGGGTCTTGCGGCAGCAAACCACAGGACTCCACAGTTCACGCAGGCTCACAGTGAATAGTAATGCAGCACTTTCAGTCGCTCACAGTTCAACAGGACTTACAAGGAATGGTGTTCCTACTGCACCTTACAACTAAGTAGTAAGTATACTAGTATGAAGTATTGTATTCCAAGTAGTACTAGCGGCATAAATTACTATGACTGAGAGCCTGGGGCTGGTCTGCATTGGTTGGTGCTTCTTCTAAGATAGTAACTGATTAAGCTCGAGATCGATGAGTTTGTCCAGCGCAGGCATGTCACTGATAAGGGGAGCCGACATCAACGACGCTGCGGCCAACTTTATTTTCGTACCTCAGAAAAAAATGTCACATTCTACAACGGAATCCCAAGTACATGTTGTATGTTTTAGTCTACTCGGATAATGCAAAAAATGAATGCTTGTCCCAAAAGTAGTTCAACCAAAACTCCCTCGCGTGCTCCATGCTATTATATGCCGTGAGACGCGTGTCTGCAGTAGCACCAAAACGTGGAACAAGATGGACTGGCGCTCGAAGCTGAGAGACTGGAATGATGTCGCCCATCCGTGTACCATTAGAGCGCTTCGCTCTTTTCAGTGTATGCAACTGAGTGGTTGGATCGTGTTCGCTGGAGATATCGAACCGTTGGACGTAAGTTAAGTATTGATCGTCCCAAGCCCATCGTGTCCTGCTTCTGCCAAGAGGCCGAATGACAAGCCTGATTTGCGCAATGGAGTGCCCTGTGGGAGATCATTCTTTAGCTTAGTAATTATTGCGAGTAAAGACAGAAAGAACGTACCTGAAAGGCTGCTGGCGGGCCAGGAATGACCAGAGCTGGTCTGAATAATGACTGGATCGTAACGACCTAAGGTCCAAGGGTCACTAGGTGGTGCGCAATTAAGCGTTTGAGCGCGTTGAATGTTACGGGGATCGTGAAACTCGGTCTCCTGCAAACGAATTTTGAACCACACTTGAACTTTGTCAAATGGTAGCTCAGCGCCATGCGCAGCCCTTCTAGGACCACCTATGGAGTGGATATGATTGCCATAGGTCGCCTCACGGTGAAGAAAATCGGCGATAGCCAGTCGCAAGTCAGGTAGGCCGAACATAATGGCGATTTCATCGACAGTAGCATGCTTGATAGATGGATGGTAAGCAAGATTAAGCGCAGTGCGCCCGACGACAAAAGAACGAAGTGGGAATGGTATCGATCCAACTTTCTTTGCTTGGAGTATTTTCGCGATTGAAAAGTAATCTGTGATAGGACGAGGTTGTCCGGGACTTCGACTTGAGGAGAGTAGCTCTGCAGGAAAGCCGTTTGCGTCATCATCAAGCTCGTCATCCTCCTCAGCACTTTCCTCCCCAACAACTCCCGGGTCGTCGCAGCGATCTAACAGGCTAGTAGCGAGGTCAAATCGATTGCACTTATCGGCGCGATCAAGATAACGACAAATTTGCGGGTCGTAGTTGTTGTTGTTGCTGGATCGCGCAGGGTCTTTGACCTCGGTGATGTGCGCGTGCTCAGTGACATCTGCAGACCACTGTGCTATGACACCGGAGTTGTGGATACTGGTGACGATACTCTGCATTAGCTCGAGTTTGGGAATCTGCCAGTTGTCGATGGTTTTACCGCCTTTTCCTTGGCGGACACCAGCAGCGATGATCGATTGTTTGTTCGCATGGAACTTGTCTAGTGCGGCTGCAATGCGACCGAGATCCTTGTCATCAATGCACGGTGACTGCACAAGATAATTGAAGTGCATGAGTGCGCGTACAGCAACAATAACACCAGGAGGTGCTGCATCCGCACTGACTGCGATGATTGATCGCTGCACATCTCGGTGACAACGACCCGTAACCTGCTTGAGTTTTGAGATGCCTGAGTAAAAGTGCCGATAACCAGTAGTGGGCTGTATGATCGAAAATCGGAAATCTATCTCGGACCCTCCCACTGTGAGGATAATCCACTGCGCATCATGGTCCCAAAACTTCTTGTGAATATGGTGCAGTGATTCAGGCGTAAAAAACCGGGAGGGTTCCGCTAGCAGCCAGTCCCACCAGAATGGTTTATCCACGCCATTTAGGCGAAACTTCTGCGCTTCACGGAAAAACTCCTCGAGATCATCTGGATGAGCGCGTGAACGTACGATTTCCAGTTGCTCGAGAGTCTTTGATCGTGTCCGGGGTTCGTGTTGGAAGGCGTCCCCAAATTGTTTGTACATTGCCATGGTAATTGGGGATGTTTTTCCACCGACGCATGCCAGCATCATGGCTTCAGGGGTGTCGGCAATATAGCTAGCGAGTACAGTAAAGCAGTAACGACTGCGACCGATGGGATCTGACAGCATTACGCCGCTTTGAGCAGCCAACTTCAGCAGTTGTAGTACAATGTTCAAGCAGTGATGAACGAGCCGATCCTGTAACATGCCTTTCATTCGTTTGTTCTTGTGAATGAATTTTGCGACCGGCAGTAGGGCGGTGAGAAGGAAAGCATTGGAGGATGATTTGAGCCGCGTGGCCATGTGGATGTTGGCGAGGCTGATAAGGAGAGGATGTGCAACACGATCGCCTGACAATGCAGTAATGCACGTCTTGTCTGAGGATAGAATAGTACCGAGGAGAGTTGCGCCACGGGGAAGCGCAGACTTGAAGAATACATGAGACGATGACTTCAAGAGAGCCATATTACGCACCTGCATCTCCCAGGCATGATCACCTGTCATCCATTCAGTATATATCCGAGAGAGCTTCTGCGCTGTGCTGTAAACCTTGCGAGGCGCATAGTCGATGCGATTATGGAATAAAGGATGATTGAATATGGTGGCGATACATTCAAGTGGATCCCGCCAGTAGAGAACAGCCGGAGACTTTGTGGGATGTGATGTTGGAATAACTTGCGACTTCCAACGTGGACCGCTAGGCAGCGATTCAGCTCGACCTCGTAGCTCTCTTGCTGAGTGGAAGGATAAAGGTAGATCACCAATCTAAGTACTATTTCAGCGAAGCCGCCATGGTGATATTTAAATTAACCACCTACCATCTCTAGCGCAAGGAGAGAATTGATTTTCTCCATACTCAAGCCGGAACGCAGAATCCATGCAGCTAGTTGCCATTCCCTTCGACCACTGAACGGATAGTAAAGATTCGTTTTACGATAGATGCTGTTTTCGTCAGCATCAAATAGGCGCAAAAACGTGTAGCCCTCGTCAAAAGCTAGTGGGGGCTCCGGAAAGTGATCGGTTACTTTGGCCTCACTGTCCTCGTTCCTCGTTCCGCCTCCAGAGTCCAAATCCTCTCCTTGGCTCCCAAAATCGTAGTAACTCTCATCCTCAGGCTCTCCTTGTTCATGAGTGTTGCTGACATTGTCCACCACCATGGGATCATGTCCAGTGAGCGGCAAGGTGGAGTTCAGTCGAATTAAATCATCTAGCCAGTTGTTGCATCCAGACCGAGGTTGGCTCATATGGCGAGCGACAGAGGTATGGTCCCTGAATTGTTTTCCACACGATGGGCAATGGGCTGGTGCCATAGCGCGCTGATATTGATATCTGGATCGCGGACTTGAGAAAAAGCAAGTTGATCTGAATTCGGCATTTTCCGATGACCATTCCTAAGTTCTCATGTTATCTTCACCGTCTAAGTTTGATATTACTACTCTACAATCACTGTCAGTGCTTGCTTCCTGCTCTGACGATTATACTCGTTATTCTCGCTCTATCGATGAATGCAATTGGGGGAGCGCCTCGCGGTATAGGTGACCTATACAAATTCTTGAAGCCATCAATTCAATTGTGAGTCCGTTGTACATCATTTCTGGCATTCTTTATCACACCTTATATTCCATAGGGAGGAGTCCATGAACCAACTGACTCTGAAGCAAGCCTTGTGCTTGATCTTGTAAGAGCCAAGCGTGATGTTTTCACGGCTCAGAAGGCGCTTGCAGATTGCGTAATACGGGAAAATGAGGTGCTTGCAAGCCTGCTTAAAGTTCGCGCAGCAGAAGCCGAGAGGAAGATAGATGAGACAGATATCGGGCTGGGATGTATGAGAATCGT